CCGCCGAGCTGTTCCCCTAGGGGAGGCCCCGCCAGTGCTCTCGCCTCGCCGGTGAGTGGGCTCGGGGATCCGGGCGGCTGTCACGCGGCGGGCCGGGCTAGGGCTGCAAGACTCCTGTCCGATGGCCTCGGCGAGGACCCGGACACAGGAGGAGGCTATCAGGCTAGTTCTCTGAAACCGCGGTCGTGTGGGGGTCTCCTTGGTGGCATGAAAACTCCGAGCCCGCAGGTTTTAGAAGGGTGTGTTTACTGTGCGGTCCCTAAGAGGGCAGGTCTTAGCCAGCCCAAGCCCTTGTGGGGAGCGTTGAAGACTTGATCCTAAGTAGGCCCTTGGCTGTCCCGCAGGGATCTGAGAAGGAACCCCGGTACACTTAGTGCAACCATGTTTCACGGGCTTCCTTTTCTGCTCTGGATTTCTTTCTGCTCTTTTATTACTAATCTGTGTGTTTTAGGAAGGATGTTGAAACATTTTCCAGAACTGTTTCTTTTGTAATGTTAATCTTTCGAGTTCGACTCTGACACTCAGACCTTATGCAGAAGGTAGTTTAATGCATCTTTCTGCAGACAACAGCATTCATTTCCAGTTATACTTCAATAAAATCTGCTTTGCCAAAGCTGGGCTAAGCTGAGGCCATACCACCCTGAATTTTGCAAGCGGGACTGGATTTCTCTAAGGTATTGACACTTTCTTTTCCTGAGCAAGGGTGCCCCTCTATCGTGAACGAGCCATGACTGAATGTAATGAGCTTGAAATTTGTGTAGTACACTGAGAAGAATTTGTGCCTCAACTATATGCTTAACTAGGCTAGGAATTAATAGATGCATAAATATGCACGTTTGAAATAGTTTCCAAAGAGAGCAGCAATTTGGTAAAGAATCTTGAAGGCCTTCCTATCTATGTGAGGACCAAGAATTGTAAAACGGTAGGAAGCAGTTGTAGAAATGAAAGTGGTGCTGGATTTTTAAAAATTTTTAAATGACATCCCATGACAGTCCTCACCCTTTAAGGCCCAGCCTTACAGTAACCCCGTGCCTTTTGTTTCTACCTTCCCGCTTTGACTCTTGTCCTCTTCTTCAAAGTCTGGCTGGTCTGGGTGGGCAAGGTCAGTCATGTGTCTTCATGAGCCCAGTCTAGTGCCCAGCGTGGAGGGTGTGTTGGAGGAGGGACAGAGCCTGGTGGGCAGACCCCTGCTGTCCTTGCCAGGGGACCCTGCATTTGAAGTGGTCACAAATAAATGGCTTTTCTCAGTGAAGTTTCTTGCCTACGGATTATGTGTAAATGAGTTATCAGAGGTTTTATTTATTGAGTTTTCAATATCTCAAAGCACTTTTCTGTTTGTTTTTATTTTCATCGCTTTTTGAAGTTTCTAGGAATGGTGGAAATTATGGCACTCCTGAAGCTTTAGAGTTACCTTTTGTCATCTTCTTCCTCATTTTTTATTCATTGTGTCAGTGAGTCATCAAGACCTTTGCCACCTGTTTGGTATAGATCCTCCCTTCTGTGTGTACTCCAGCCCTCCCTTTCCTTTCCAGCATAGGAACCCAATTTCACCTGGTCTCACTGAATGTGTACCCAAGGATGAATGAGAAACAGCGAATGAGAAGCTTCCCACTCTGCTCTCTTCAGCATGCTCCAGCCCAGCTAAGCGTCTCTTCTGCCTGGCAGCCTTGAGCTGCTGTCCTTTATCCATAATCTCAAGTGTCCCCAGCATGCCTGAAGGTCTTTCACAGTGGACTCACTCTTCCTATCTAAGTCCTTTACTCTTTGTGGTTTGACTTTCTTCGTGTCCTGATGGGGCCAGCTGCCTTCCCACCAAAGTGTCGCCGCTCATATTGTTCTCTCATAGCCATCTGTGGAGGAGGAACCTAAGTCTTGCTTCTTTTATGAGATTTCCCCTACTCATTTCTCTTCTCTTTCTTTGAAGTCTTGATATACTTGTTAGCTCTTCACTATATTGCCTACATTGATCTCTCATTGGTTTAGGTTACTTTAAGCCTCTTTAGGGAATGATCCATATTTTATACATAGTAATGTGGTATTATGGGCTTTGGAGTCAGGCAATATGGGGGTCAGGGTTCAACTCCACGTATTAGTCATGTGACTTTGTAGAATTCTTTTAGCCTTAATGTTTTCACATGTGAAATAGGGAAAATGCTTTCCCCAGTCAATTGTGGTGTAAAGGTGTTTACAGTGTCTACTCAGTAACTACTGCCATCTCACAGAATTCTGCTCAGGGACTAGCGGTGTGCTGAGCATGTTGCGTGGACAGTATTTGGTAAATCTTCGTGGACTGACTTGTAGCCTACAAGCCGTGGTTTCTTCGAGGTTCAGAGGACCAGGGTAGCTATGCAATGAATCCTTAGTATTATCCTACCCTTGCCGAAAATGTCTGGAGCTTAAGTTATTCCTGGCTACAGCACTGCTTCCGGGATCTGTTCCTATTTTTCCATCTGAACCTT